AGGCCAGGGAAACCAGCGGAACCAGCATTTGGCTGGTTGGGCAAAGACAAAACAGGTTCTGTTTTTAGAACCTGAACCTGGTTGTTGTTTTTCCCAGGTTGGAAAAACAGAACCAGAGGTTGTTTACCAACCTACCACCTGCTATTTTTTCCAGCCAGGTTGGTTCTGTTGCTTGGAATTATTTGGGATCATCCCTGGTTGTTCCCAGGTTGATTCCCAAGGTCCTTGCTAGCTAGAACTATTTAATCCTTCTCTGTTTGTACCTGAATATAGTCAAATTGATTCAAGCGAATTCCTTCCTCGCTGGAATTTCGTTTCTACGCGGTTCGTTGGCGGAATGCTACCCGAGTCAACGCTAGTACGCTAGCGCTCCAACGCTAGGCAAACGCTGTCCGAGCCATAACTTAGTAATGGCAGAACTTTTCGCGAGGCAACTTGGCTCATTTTAAAGCTCTTGGAGCGAGCTTCGATATAGCAAGTTCTCAGCTTAATCCGACCGACGGTCTGCACGGCACGCTGCGCGACGTTCAAGGTATTCTTGCTGTTTTGACTAAGTCCTTCTTGATCCCTCTCTCTACAAACTCGGACCCGAGGATAGGGGCTGGTCTTGTACCAGGCACCCAGGGACCCTTGGAAGTGACCCCGAGGAGAGGTTTTAAGTTTGATTAAGTCCTAATAGCTTGAGTTTATTAGGCCCTTACACACATCGGCATCCCCGCCCCACCACAGATCCATTCACCACCTTCCGTGGCAGCAGCTGCCTGTGAGGCAGCAGCGGTTTTCTCTGACATGAACGGGTGAGGCAAAAGGGGGGGCGTTAAGGAGCAGGGGGAAGGCGACGACGTGGGCGTCGGGGCGCATGAGGGAGAGCGGGAGGGCGTCCAGCAGGCGCAGCCACGGGATGATGGGCTGCCCCCAGTGGACTCATGCACGGCCGCGGCAGAGGGTGGGGCGCCAGGCATAGTGGCAGCAAGGTCATCAGAGGCGGCAGCTGTAGCAGCAGCAACAGCAGCGCTGGCAGTTGCTACAGCTTCCTCTGCAGCGGCATCACGGCAGTCGGGAGCATGTGCGCAGGCTGTGGCAGGTGAGAGGGGCTCGTGGAGGGAATGGGTCGCAGGGGAGGAGGGAGGGGGAGGGAGAGAAGTAAACATAAGATGCTGGGGGTGATGGGGAGCAGCATGTGCAGCACAGCACTACCAGCTGCTACAGCAGCTTGTGCTCATGCACATGCAGAAAGTGCACATCAACGTGCCTTAAACAAGCTGCATTGGCATGCAATGCTCTCTGCACTCACCGCATGCATTGCTCTCTGCTCACTACTCACCGCATGCATGTCACACAGCGCCACCGGATTGAAAGGTGCCGCCGGTGAAGTGGCTGGGTGAGGCGGAGCGCAGGAAGATGACGGGCGGAGCGGACAGCGGCGAGCGCCAGCGAGCGCATGACTGCCAGCAGTGCCTGCCTGCACAGACCGGCCATGAATGGCGTTGACTCCAGTTGACTCTCTCAGACGGCATGTACGGGCGCGCGGTGGGGGAGGTCTGCACAGCCTGCTGGTTGGCTCTGAAACTGTGTGGAGGGGGGAGGTGGGTGGAGCGATAGCGAGACAAAAGGATAGAGGAGTGGGAATGAGGAGTAGGAATGTGGGGCGGGCGGAACGAGGGGTGTGTGTTGATCGAAACACAAACCGAGGCTGGCTGCCCTACTGCGTGCGCGCCTCGCCTCATACGCCCTCGCTGAGCACCTGCTGGCAGTCCAGTGGTTGGCAGTGCTGAGCACGAGCACGTCCAGGGCGCCACAGGTGCTGCAGCAGCCACTCGTCCGCCTCATACACCCAACCACCCGCCGGTACTACTGGCCTCCTCCTCCCCGCCCCACCGCCCCCACTTGCCGCCGCCCCCCTGCCCGCCCTCCTCCCTCCCCTCCTCCACACTCTCCCCCTTACTCCCCCTTTCCTTCTCCATCCTCCCCCCCCCCCTCCCCCCCCCCTTCTCATCTCCCCCCCCCCCTCCTCCTCCTCTCCCTCTTCCTCCACGGGCACGGCAGCGGGCAGCACGTCCTCACGGCACAGCAGGTTGGAGGTGCGCTGCAGCACAGTGGTGTTGCTGCCAGGCAGCCACACAGCCGCGCCCCTGGCAGTGCCGCGCACAGGCGCGCCCCCGTGAGGTTGAAGCGCCACCCCACGTCCACCACCCCCGCCACGCCCTGCCCGCGCCCTGCCCTCGCTGCCTTCATTGACTGGGCGGGTGTGGTTGGGGGGCAGCACTCGGGGGCGCGGGGCGAGCAGGCAGAGCAGCGAGAGGAACTGCTGGCGGCTGAGCGAGTCGCCCACCAGCGCCACCACGTGCGGTGCTGCATCCTGCTCATGCATGGCGGGTGGAGAGGAGGAGGAAGAGGGGAAAGAGGGGAAAAAGAAGAGGAGCAGAGGAAGAGAGGAGGTGAGATGTTGCGTGGCGTGGCAAGTTAGAGAGTAAATGGCACCGCCAGTTGCCAGTGAAGGTTCTGTGCGTGGCATTGCAGCAGGGCGGGGATAGGGCAGGGGCGTTGAAAAATGAGGTGATGGCGCAGGGAGCGAGCAACAAGATCCGAGTGCCATGGCTTTGCTTGGCGCCTGGTGCGCTGCAGTGGGCGCCAGGTGGGGTGCGCGTGAGGGTTGTGGTGGGCAGCGTGAGGGTTGTGGTGGGCAGCGTGAGGGTTGTGGTGGGCAGCGTGAGGGTTTGGTGGGCAGCGTGCGTGCCTGAGGAGCAAGTCAGAGGCATTGAAAGCAGGCACGTCGCACCCATGGGGCCGCCACCGATACTCCTCAAACGCAAAGTCCCGACTCATGCCCTCCCCCTCCCCCTCCCCTTCCCCCTCCCCATCCTGTCCCCCCTCCTCCTTGCCTTGATCTCCCCCCTTTCTGCTTCTTCGCTCGATCTGCTCTCCCTGCTATGGCGTCCCTTCATTCGCCCCTGCATCACTCGTCTGCACCCACCTACTCGCCGACCTCCCTCTGCCTCCATCACAAAAATCATATGACCAGAAACCTGTTGTAAAGAGTTGTGTCGAATTATTTTCAAATGCTTTTAAACGTAGGGGCCAAAACTATTTTCGGTGAAAGTATAAACATTTTTCCGAATGCTTTGTCGAATGCTTTGCAGGTGTTGGCATGTTTCAATTACCTTCGGAATAACGTTGGTCCAAGTGTCTTTGGAGATGTATCACACTTGGTTCGGAGTGGTTAGGGAGATTAAATTCCACTCAATAATCTCTGGTGCAGAGCTTAGGACCAAAGTTAAAAAAAAAAAAGAAAAGAAACCTTCAACATGTGTTTCTCGTTGTTTCATGGAAGGTCTACGAGCCTTTATTAGGTGTATACGCACATCATGAAATGCATTGCTAAATGATCATTAATCTCATTACAGAGTTAGATTGGCACACAAAACAGCTTCCTAAACACGCTTTGCCACGTACCGCTAGGGTGGACTACTCAGCACCGTCCTCCTACCTTCCTCGCAAGCCACCATCGGATGTGTCCCCGGCCCATCGGGCTATTGGCCTAGAGAGTTATTGACTACAAACACTGCTCCACCTAATGCTAACCTGCACGGCTACACACTACATGTCTCCTGCTCCACCTAATGCTAACCTGCACGGCTACACACTACATGTCTCCTCTCATGCCTGCTCCTGCTGCTCCACATTGGCCTCTCCTGGAACTCCCCTGTTACCTCCCCTGCTACCCCCCCAGCTACTACTCATGCTGCCTCCACTACCGCCTCACATGCTGCTGCCTCCACTGCTCCTCCACTACCGCCTCACATGCTTCCTCCACTGCTCCTCCCACTACCGCCTCACATGCTGCCTCCACTGCTCCTCCACTACCGCCTCACATGCTGCCTCCACTGCTCCTCCACTACCGCCTCACATGCTGCCTCCACTGCTCCTCCACTACCGCCTCACATGCTGCCTCCACTGCTCCTCCACTACCGCCTCACATGCTGCCTCCACTGCTCCTCCACTACCGCGATCCAAAGACCCTCCACAACAGTCGCATACCAAAAAGCACTCCTCTCTCTTTGTTGCCTCCCCTGCTGCCTCTCTCTATTGCCTCCCACGCAGCTTCTCTGTGTTGCCTCTAATGCTGCCATTCTAGTCATGCCTCCCCTGCTGCCTCTCTCTGTTGCCTCCCCTGCTGCCATTCTGTTTTGCCTCCCCTGCTGCCTCCCTTTGTTGCCTCCCCTGCAGCCTCTCCCTGTTGCTTCCCTTGCTGCCATTCCATGTTGTCTCCAATGCTGGTTCCATTTGTTGCCTCCTCTGCTGCCATTCTATGTTGCCTCCCTTTGTTTCCTCCCCTGCTGCCTCCCTTTGTTGCCTCCCCTGCTGCCTCCTTTGTTGCCTCCCCTGCTGCCTCTCGTTGTTGCCTCCCCTACTGCCATTCTATGTTGCCTCCCTTTGTTGCCTCCCCTGCTGCCTCCCTTTGTTGCCTCCCCTGCTGCCTCTCGTTGTTGCCTCCCCTACTGCCATTCTATGTTGCCTCCCCTTCTGCCTCTCTCTGTTGCCTCCCCTGCTGGCATTCTGTGTTGCCTCCCCTGCTGCCATTCTGTGTTGCCTCCCCTGCTGCCATTCTGTCTGTGTTGGCTCCCCTGCTGCCTCCCTCTGTTGCCTCCCCTGCTGCCTTTCTATGTCGCCTCCATTGCTGCATTTCCTTGATGACTCACTGCTGCCTTTCGTTGTTGCCTACCACTCTGACTTTCCATGTTCCCTACCCTGCTGCCTTTCCTTGATCCCTACCCGCTGCAGACCCCAACTGGTTATACGCCCCTGCTCTCCCCGTTAACCGATACCCTCCTGCCTCACTCGATGCCTCTCCAACTGCCTCCAGTGCCACCCGCCCTGCTTGCCCCTTGTCTTTCTGGCCCATCACTTTCCCCTCCTGCCTCCCATGCTTTTCCCTCTTGTGCCTTCTGCTCTCTCTCCACCCCTTTTCCCCCCTCATCAACTTCCTCCTCTCCCCTTCCTCCTCCTCTTCATCTTCCTCTTTCATCCTCCTCCTCCTCCTCCTCCTCTTCCTCCTCCTCCTCCTCCTCTTCCTCCTCCTCCTCTTCCTCCTCCTCTTCCTCTTCCTCCTCCTCCTCCTCCTCGTTATCCGCCCGAGCTGTCCTCCGGAACGCCTCAAACCCGGACTCGTGTACATAGAGCCCACGCGTGCCCCACTTGAAGCCCTGCAGCTCTGCGTTGTACACGGGGGTGTGGCATCTAAAGTGATTCCTAACAATCCCCCGCACCCCCCGACTCAAACTCGCCATCCATCTAGTGTTTTTTTGAGAGGTGAGAGTTCGGGAGGTTCATGTCGGTCTTCTTTCTGCGCGCCAGGCCTTGGTCAATCTGAAATGGGTTTGGATTACAGGGATCAGCAACAAGGCAGAGTTGGGTGATTACGGTGTTAGCCCCCAAGGGTCCCACGTCGTTCACATGCAATAAAAAGGGTTGAGCATTAGTACAAGGGATTGAGTTTTACAAAAACAGCCTCACCACCATGAGGGACCAGGCTATGTGGTACGCTTTTAGGGCCAGCATGCACCCAACCGCGTAATCCCGAAATGATGCCTTCACTGCATTGACAAACCGGGCGTTGGCAAAAGGGAGCCCGGATCTGTCGTTCCCCCATGAGCTGACCCGCTCATTCCCTCCTACACGCATGCACGACCAGGTGGGGAAGCACGGGTATGTTTGATCATCAAGAAGTGGGGCAGGCAGGAGGTGGAGGTATGTTCTTGCATCCTGTGGAGGGGCATGCAGGGCGGACGGGTATGTTAGAGCGTCGTGAGAGGCTAGGCAGGGCAGACGGGTTTGTGTGAGGATCCTGAGGTGGGGGCAGGCAGGGCAGACGGGTTTGTGTGAGGATCCTGAGGTGGGGCAGGCAGGGCAGACGGGTTTGTGTGAGGATCTTGAGGTGGGGCAGGCAGGGCAGACGGGTTTGTGTGAGGATCCTGAGGTGGGGCAGGCAGGGCAGACGGGTTTGTGTGAGGATCCTGAGGTGGGGCAGGCAGGGCAGACGGGTTTGTGTGAGGATCTTGAGGTGGGGCAGGCAGGGCAGACGGGTTTGTGTGAGGATCCTGAGGTGGGGCAGGCAGGGCAGACGGGTTTGTGTGAGGATCCTGAGGTGGGGCAGGCAGAGCAGACGGGTTTGTGAGAGGATCCTGAGGTGGGGCAGGCAGGGCAGACGGGTTAGTGACCATGACAGGATGGGGCCGGGTTGAGGTTATGAAAGTGCGATCAGACAACACAAAGGGAATGAGCAAGGGGATGAAAACATCAAATTAGCAACGGGGTTGCTGACCATCAAGACTCACTCGGTTTGTATTTTCGCCACAGCCTCCTCTTTCTCTTCATGCTCAGCATGAGCTCAGCTGCACGCAGCCCATCCACCATCACTCCGAACTTCTCGAGCACACTGCGCTTGACTTGGAAGCCCCGTTCATTCTTCCAAGCTGTCCACACGCGCTTAAAGACGGCAACGACGTTCTGGTCTTTCTTTGTCTCTTTCAGCTGCATGTACGAAATGATGTGGGTCTCACTGATGACGCCATATAGAACCTGTAGTCGCTGATCAAAGGATGGGTACCAATCAATCGCATGGTCCGGCGCGTCCATGCACATCCGGTCCCGCGCCTCGACAAAATGAAGCTACATTGGGCGGGAGGCGGGGGCAAGAAGAAAACAGAGGCGAGGGGCAAGCATATGAAATGTGGGGCAGGCAGAGTGGGTTGCAATTAACGTCCATGACAAAGGGTGGCTGGCACGGGAGTTTATAATGAGCAGGAATAACAGACGTAGGGCAGGCAGAGGGTATTAGAAACGTAATGCAAGACGTTGTGGGTTAACATGAGCATGAATAAGATTGAGGCAGTGGGGTTACGAATGAGCATCAATAACCAAGGTGGGGCCAAGGGGGGCAGTCAAAGGGGGTTAATATGCGCACTCATATCACTGTTGGTATACATACCTTTGGTTTTGAAAGCCCCGCAGAGTGCCCCTCACACTCACCCTCAATTTCTCGAGGGTGGGCATTCCATGCCTGCGCCGAATGGGCTGGCCCTCTGTCGGTGTGCTCTCCTCAGCCACCCCGGGACTGAGGCCCCCAGATGATGGGTCGCTCGCCATAGGTGCCAGAGGAGGAACCCGGGAGGGAGGTCCGCGGTTTTTGCAAACTGGTTTTGCTTGAGGGCTGCTACTTTCGCCGTTTGCTAGCTCGAGCTCTCGCGTGAGCTGCTCCACCGTCTTGGGGCCAGCCGGATTGAGACGACCTGATGCACCAGGCGTGCCCATGCTCTCACCCCTCCCCTCCTTCGAGTGTGCATCCCTTTTCCAGGTGTAGTCGACGCCCCTTTCGTCACGTTCATCGTACGGAGACCCAGCCATAACTCCGCCACAATCACCCAAGGCATTTGCCCACATCCCACCAGCCACACCGTCGTTTGCTGCTGCGGCCGTTGCGTCACCGTATCGTTTTGGCACCGTCTCGCCTCTATCAAGATCCGGTGAACCCCGTGTCACGACAGGTTTCGTGGTTGGGTCTTCACCATCCTTGTTATGACGCCAGGACCCTGTAGGCAGCGGGTCTGCTCCTTTCCCAGCAGTTAGTGATGGCCCTCTGAGAGCAGCGTAAGGGTCCTCGCGATCGTCACGCCTCCATCGGGCCTGATCCTTACGATCAAGAGAGCTAGTGGGAGCAGCAGTTGCTTTCACTCCCATCTCCGCATAGAAATCAGGCTCGGGCTTCACTTTGGCGCGCACATGGACAACCTGGGCAACGCCACGCCGGCGACCATTGTTGTTATGCGATTTCCCACGACTGTCTCGCCCCTTGCGACCATTGTCACGACCCTTGTTACGGTTCCTCTTATCCTTGCCCTTCTTGGGCCGCCGATCACGCCCCTTTATCTTGGGACGCACCTCATCTGCCTCCTCGCTTTCGGGCTCCAGATCCTGATCCTCACTCTCCTCCTCCTCCTCCTCCTCCACGTCCCCATAGACCTCCTCGCTGCCAGATGAGCTACCAGATTCCTCGTCGCTGGATCCCTCCTCAGAACCAGACGAGGAGCTGGAAGCGTAGCGTTTCCGTCCCTGGCGAGCCTGCCTCATTTCTCTGTCGTGACTGCCCGTATCAACCACATTGCGCCGCTTGTACGTAACTTCATCCGCTCGTCCCTTATTCTCCCCGTTACTCTCGCCCTTAGCGACTTCAGTCCCTCGTCCCTTTCCCGCCCCATTCCTGTCGCCCTTAGCGACTCCAGTCCCTCGTCCCTTTCCCTCCCCATTCCTGTCGCCCTTAGCGACTCCAGTCCCTCGTCCCTTTCCCTCCCCATTCCTGTCGCCCTTAGCGACTTCAGTCCCTCGCCCCTTACGCTCCCCATTACTGTCGCCCTTAGCGACTTCATCCGCTCGTCCCTTAGCCTCCCCATTACTCTCGCCCTTAGCGACTTCAGTCCCTCGTCCCTTACCCTCGCCATCATTGTCGCCCTTAGCGACTTCAGTCCCTCGTCCCTTTCCCTCCCCATGCCTGTCGCCCTTAGCGACTTCATCCCTCGCCCCTTACGCTCCCCATTACTGTCGCCCTGAGCAACTTCAACCCATCGTCCCTTACCCTCCCCATCTTTGGCATGCCCAGACTGAAGCAGGTCGTCACCACCAGCCACTACCGCCTTCTCCTGCTGATGAAAAGAGCTGCCCCTCTCCACCGCTCCCCTCCCCTTCTTGCGCTTTGCTCTCGCACGGCAGTGACCCTTCTCTTCTGACTCGGCTGTGAAAAGCCACAACAGAGCGAAATGAAGTCACACGTGACGTTAGCGGGATTGGCAGTAACAACATATAGGCATCCCAGAAATTACGCAATGAGCGAGAGAATTACTGGTGGAATCTACACCACAGGTACCTTTCTGGCCTTTCTTGGAGTTTAGTTCTTCTAACTTATTCGTACGCGTTTCCCTCCGTTTCGGGGGCGAGGAAATAGCTTTGTTTGCGTATGGCTCCTCATCGCCGCCACGGCTTGAGTCGTCTTCAGATGAGGAATCGCCCCTTGACTCGCTATCGTCGCAGGCTTTGGATGGATGTCTCCTACGATACTCCTTGACGACTTGGGCAGTTTTCTCTGCTGTTACTACCTCCATATATCTCTTCTCATCTGGCGATTTGGTAGAACAAGGCAACTCTACAGCAGCAACCTGCGCATTAAGGGTTTGATCCAGAACTGTTGGCTCTAGGTTCTCACCCATGAGGGGCTACTAAGTGTACATAGGACTAAGATAGTGACTGGACTCAGCGGCTGATACTAGCATTAAGTATCAGTGGGTTGCTGAGGTCCGAGTACCAGAAAGTGTGGTGGAGCAGGTGTACGTGATCCAACCACTACGTATGAGCAGCACAGGCTGATGAGGGTTTCAACATGGGGTTGCAAGAAGCACGATGGTCCTCCCAGATCCTTTGCCTCTCTAGAGCACAGATCCATGGTTTGCTACTGTAGATGGGAGAAAGTAAGACGGACACGGTCAGAGGTGTTGATGCAGTGGCCCATCCGAGTGCATAAACTGCACCCGTGTTCACGCCACTGGTTGTTTAAAATGTTGGATTTCATGCGCGCGCTACTGACTGTTTTCCCTCTAAGCGCGACAAGAACGGTCTACAAGAATTATACCCGTGGCAGCGAGGTGAGAGTTTGCTCTGCCCGACTGCCTCGTATTGCTGATTTACAGGCGACGCGACAGACGCTGCACGTATATTATCACAATCGTCACGTACAATGTCCGATGAGCATCTGTGACAACTCAGTGACCTACGTGAGGGAGGGACGGAATCGAACCTGTGGTCGCACAAAGTCGTGCAGCCAAGGACGACAGGTCGACACCGCGTGACTGTGCGGGGGAACACCTGAAATCGCGGAGTTGAGAGTCGCTGGACAGCGATTGCGACTCGGTCGCTCATCTTGCTGGCATGATGAATGCAGGTGGCGTAGGCATTAGATGCGTGGCCCATCCAAAGTGGTGCACGTATATACGCCAAGTCCCGCTATGCAACTGTAGATGTATGTACTACCCTGATCGAATATAAACGGTAAGTATAATCGGTTTCAATATCCTATCATGTGGCTCATACATTCCAGACTAGCCTTTATATCACAAGGGACAGACAGGATAGTTACAAATTACCATCCAAGAAACATCAACATGATGCACACTGTGACAATCTGGTTACTCGTTTAAGGCCGCTACTCGAGGCAACGTGGCTTACATTTCGAAAATACGTGTGATTTT